AACGCTACGGCCAAGTGAAGCACGCTTTAACAGCTAACAGCCAACCGTTAACCGCAAAAAAATCCCCTCCGTCAGCGGTTCGATGCCTTCGGGACACCGAGCCGCCTCAGGAGGGGCAAGGAAACGCTTCGCGACTACCTCAGAGATAGGTCACCAAGGTAGCGGGGCGATGCGGTTATTGGTTGTCGGCATCGACATCCACATCGGCACGCGGCGTATCGACATCGACACGCTTGCGGCCGGTGGCCGGGTCTTCGGTGACCTCGACGTCGCCGATCGGCGTATCGACGTCGCTGATCGTGCGGTCCGGGGTCACGGCGTCGGAGATGTCTTCGCCGGCCTCTTCCATGCTCTCTCCGAGGGTGTCGTTGTCGGCGTCGTAATCCTGACGCTCTTCCAACTCGACCTCGTCCTCGACGGCCGGGTCATTAATGACCGGCTTTTGGCTTTCATAGGTCGTCGCGTCTTGGCAGCCGGTGAAGGCGGCGAGGCCGGCGAAGGCAGAAGCGGCGGCAAAGTGACGGAGGGTAGAACGCATGATGGTTAGCTCCAGGTAAGTGAAACGGTGTGTGAAAGTTGGTGGCGTTGCAGGCGATGGGCTCTGGAAAACCCAGGAACTGCTTCGCCACCGGTGGGGCAAGCCCCGTGCCAATGCGTGCCCGGGTGCCGGGTTGGCCTAATTGACCAGTTTCATTGCGATAATCGGGCGGAGACGCTGGGCGCCGGCCACGAGGGGTGGGTCGTTGGCGAGCACGGTGGTTGCGGCTCGATCAGCCGGTGGAAAGTGATCCTCTTCCGGCCCCTTCTCGAAATGTCGAGATGTTAAACAGGGAAAGACTGGTTGCTTGAAAGTTGGCGTACATGGCGGCGACGCGATCGATACGAACGCCGCGCATCCATGCGAAGACTAACGTGTATCCGTCAACGACTTCATTTAAAGCGAGAACCGGTAGCAAGCGTGCGCTGGCACGCCTTTCGCTTCTCCGTTGCTCAACCTGATGAAGGAAGTCGCGACGCCGAGCTCGGCTCGTCGGCGACTTCCTAGGCGCCGTGGCGTACGCGGCGTGGCGTCGCCGCCACTGGCGCGATCGCACAAACCACACTGTAGGAGAGAACCATGAAGTACTCGATTCTTAGCGCCGCGTTGGCGCTCGGCATTGCCCCGGCGATGCTCGTGGCCCAACAACCCGCGAACCAACCCGGCGTCTCGCAGCCGTATGAAACGAACAAGGCTGTCGCCGAGGACCGGACAGTCGATCGCAACGATATCGATCGTGCGGACGAAGTCACCCCCACGGGCTTGATCCGCGCTAGCCAGATGATGAACGCCGCGGTTTACAACAACGCGGAAGAGCAGGTGGGTACGATCTCGGACGTCGTGCTCGACCAGCGGACCGGGCAGGCCCGCTACGTCGCCCTCTCGACGGGCGGCTTCCTTGGCCTCGGCGACGCGCTGCACGCCATCCCCTTCAAGTCGGTGAAGACGCAGGTGCATGATGGCGACGAGGTCTTCGTCCTCAACATCGACGCCGAGCGTCTCGAGAACGCCAAGGGCTTCGACCAGGACAACTGGCCGAACATGGGCGACCGTAACTGGCAGCAGACCAACGACCGCCAGTACGGTGACTATGATCGTCAGTACGGTGACAGCGACCGCGTCGCGCCGCAGCAGTGATCTGCTAGCGGATAGCAACTAGGCGTTGCGGAACCCCGTCCCTTCTTCGGAAGGGGCGGGGTTCTTTTATGGTTCTTCCATTTAGTCCTGAGGGCTTGGGTGATCAGGCAGACGATCGAACCAGAGCCGCTTGCACCTCGGTCTCGAGCAAGTTCCAATCGATCGGTTTTGGAATATAAGCGTTGCAGCCCGCTTCGAGGCAGCGCTCGCGGTCGCCGAGCATGGCGCTCGCCGTGAGAGCGATGATCGGGATGTCCTCCCCCGCGGCGCGGAGACGCTGGGCCGCTTCGTAGCCCGACATGACGGGCATGTTCATGTCCAACAGCAGCACGTCGTAGGGGTCGCCCGCCTCGTGCGCCGCGCTTAGCTGCTGGAGAGCCGACTTGCCGTCGTCGACGAAGTCGATCCGCGTGGCGTGCGGCGTGAGGATCTTGCGGAGCAGGAACTGGATGCTGGCCGTGTCCTCGGCGACGAGGATCGCTCCTTTGCGCTCGATCTTGACCGCAACGCCCGACTGCTTCGCCCGGCGGTCGGCCATGTTTCGCAGGCGCTGCATCGGCGGCTCGATGTAGGGCAGGTGCAGACAGAAGGTCGATCCCTTGCCGACTTCACTTTCGAGGGTCAGTCTGCCCCCCAGAAGGGACGCAAGGCGTGACGCGATCGCCAGCCCCAGGCCAGCGCCGCTGTTGACGCTGTGAGACGCGGCGCCGGGGAGCGTCCCCTCGTGGGCCTGGTGGAAGGCGTCGAAGACGGCGTCCTGCTCGTCGTCGGCGATGCCGATGCCGGTGTCCTCGACGCAAAACAGCATCTCACGTTGGCCGTCAGTCGTTTCGGAGGAGACCGCGAACTGAACGGAGCCCTCTTTTGTGAACTTGATGGCGTTGGAGACGAGGTTCGAGACGATCTGCCGAACCCGGGCCGGGTCCGTTTGCAAGTGACGCGGTAGAGGGTCTTGGAGATCGAGCGAGAACGCGAGCCCTTTGGCCAGCGCCAACGGCTGCATCAGCGAGCGGATGTCTTCGGCGAGGGTGATGACGTCGCAGACGCCCTGCTTGCGGACGGTGAGCCGGCCGGCCTCGATCTTCGAAAGGTCGAGAACGTCGTTGAGCAAGTGGAGCAGGAGTTGTCCCTGGCGGTGGATCAGGCTTGCGGTCGCGGAAGTCGATGCGTCCGGCGCCTCGCGAACGAGCGACTCGGCGCAGCCGAGGATCGCGGTCAACGGCGTGCGGATCTCGTGGCTGGTGTTCGCAAGGAACTGGCTCTTGGCGTTGCTGGCGGCCTCGGCTTCGAGTCGGGCTTTGGCGAGGTCCTGTTCGATGAGCTTCTGTACGGTGACGTCGTAGTTGACGCCCACCAGCCGCCGATGCCGTCCTGGCTCTTGGACAAGCCGACCGCGTCCGGCGATCCACTTGCGCTCGCCGTCGGGCGTCGTGATCCGGAAGACGTGATCGTAGGTCGCGCCGTACTCAATCGTCAGCTTCAGGACGCGTTGCAGCTCGTCGCGGTCGTGCTCGTCCACGAGCTTGTAGAAGTCGGTGATTTGGACGATGGTTTCGCCCTCTTCTACGCCGGGGTGGCCCGTCATGCCGACGAGGGCGGCCTCGGTGGCGTCGAGACGCACCTCGCCGGTGTCGAGGTTCCATTCCCAAGCTCCCATCGACCCCGCGGCGAGCGCCATCGAGAGCCGTTCTTTGACTTCCTCCAGACGCAGTGTCTGCCGATCGACTTCTTGCTGAAGTTCTTCGGGGCTTCGAAAGAGCAACAGGTGCGGCAGGTAGTACGCCAGCGTGATGGCGGTCAGACACGACGAAACCGCGGTCACGACCTTCACCACGGCTGAGAGCCGGTAGATGGGATGCCAGAAGATGATCGCCTCGATCAAATGGACCGAGCCGCAGGCGAGGATGAAGATGGCAAAGAGCACGAGAAGCCGCGGCGCCGGCAGATGGCGGGCGCGGCGCAGAGCGATCAGCAGCAGGATGGGGATCGCCACATACGCCGTTGCCGTGGCGATGTCGGCGACAATGTGGGTCCAGCCGAGCCAAGGCTCCTGGCTCCATGCCGACCCGCAATTCCACCGCGCTGGAAACCCCTCGGTATCGAGGAGGAAACCTGTCATAAGGGAGAGAGTCACCAGGGGTGGAGTTTTCGGGCGCCCGCGCCCTTCGAGAGCGGCAATTCTCCAGAGCGAACCGCGTGCCGACAAGCGGCCCGACAGCAGACGGCACAGTACTTGCTCAACGTGTTTAGCCCGCCTGAATTGCGCTCTGCGAACGCGCGGCGCCGGGGGAGCCAAGTCCTTCCTCGGAGTGCATTATCGCGCAACCCACCTCAAATGGCCGAAGTCTCTCCGCAACCCTCTGTGGAGACGGCTTCGCTGAATCCATCCCACCGACGAATCGAGCGCTCCTGTGCTGGCGCTAAGGCCGAGAAGCCCGCGATCGCTGTGCGGGTATGGCCGTCGATCAACCAGTTGGATCGATTGCCAGCCAGCGGGGTGGCCGCTCGGGCTTCAAAGAAGAGTTGAGCCGAACGGTTCGTGGCGCCGACAGTCGCAGAGGTTGTGCAGGTGGAAGCGGCGGGAAACGGCAGAAATCGACCCATGGATCGATGCAACGGAAAANNAGATAACCTCCAAGGATTGACATAACGACAGTTTGAGGCGGACCGGGTCCGCTAACTCGAGCGTTGAAGGCGGCGGTGGGATGAGCAACCGAAGAGCAGACGAGCATGCCAACGGCGCCGGAGGTTTGTTGTCGGCCGTCCTGGCGTCGTGCCGCGATGCGATCATCGCCTGCTCTTCAGACGGCGTCGTCGAGGAGTGGAACCGGGGGGCGGAAGAGGTCTTCGGCATCAGCCGCGACTCGGCTCTCGGCGAGTCGATCACTCGATTTATCCCAGCCGATCGCCGCGATGAGATCGACCGGCTCGTCAACGAGTCGATGGCGGGTCGAGCCGTGGCTCACTACGAGACCCAGCGGCTGCGATCTGGCGGGGAGAGCTTCCCGGCCGCTGTCTGCGGTTTTCCGCTGCGGGACGCGGCGGGGCAGGTCACCGGCTTTGCGACGATCGAGCGCGACCTCACGGACCGTGTCCGCGGCGCCCAGGCTCTTCGTGAGGCACTGGCGGCTGCGGAATCGGCGAGCCAGACCAAGAGTCGCTTCCTGGCGAACGTCAGCCATGAGCTCCGGACGCCGATGAACGCGATCATGGGGATGACCTCCCTAGCGTTGGAAGAGCAGATGCAGCCCGAGCTGCGCGACTGTCTGGAGACCATCCGTGACTCGGCCGACACGATGGTCAACCTCATCAACGACGTTCTCGATCTGTCGCGCTTCGAGTGTGATGAGTTCGAGCTCGAGGAAGTCGAATTCGAGTTCCGCGATACCATCGAGACGGCGAGCAAGGTGCTCGGCGCCGCGGCTCATGCGAAAGGGATCGAGCTGGTTTGCCGGATCGCGCCGGACACTCCCGAGCTAGTGATCGGCGACCCTGCCCGGATGCGGCAGGTGCTCACCAACCTGATCGGCAACGCGGTGAAGTTCACCTCGCAAGGCCATGTCCTGGTCGAGGTGAGCCCGCTGGTGACGGAGAGCACTCGCTGTCGGATGCGCCTCAGCGTCTCTGACACGGGGATCGGCATCAATGAGAAGGACCAGGTGCGTATCTTTGCTCCGTTCACGCAGGTGGATGGGTCTTCCATCCGCAACTACGGCGGGTCGGGGTTGGGGCTGGCGATCACCAGGCATCTGGTCGATTGCTTCGGCAGCAAGCTGCAAGTGGAGAGCGAGTTCGGCCGCGGCAGCCATTTTTGGTTCGACATCACGCTCCCGATCCCCGAAAAGAAGCAGGCGAAATCAGAACACGTTGCCGATCAGCTGAGCGGGCTGTCGGCCCTTGTCGTGGACGATAACACCGCTAGTCGGTCGGCCTTAGCGGAACAACTCGGCGCGTGGGGGATGAATGCCGACACGGTCGATTCGGGCGACGAGGCGCTGCGGAAGCTCCGCCGATCCGCGGACGCCGGCAATCCTTACGACCTCGCCATCATCGACGCCCAGATGCCAGGGATGGACGGCTTTTCGGTCGTCTCCCACATCGAGGGCGAGCGGACGATCAAGACCAAGCCGATCTTGATGTCTTCAACAATCGACCGCCTGGAGTTCAGCCGCCGCTGCGCGGAGGCCGGCGCGACGGCGTTTGTATCCAAGCCCATCAGCCAGTCGCAGCTCTTCAACGCCGTTACGCAGGCGACGGGCGCCGCGGCGCTGGAGGGAGAATCTCGGCTGGGGCTGTACGATCGCCCCCACGCGGCGCCACGGCGCGTGCTGCTGGTGGAGGACACGCCCGCCAACCGCAAGGTGGTCCAGCGGGTGCTCCAGCGACGCGGGCATGAGGTGATCGTCGCCGTGAACGGCAGCGAAGCGATCGAGGCCTTCAAGAGTGGCGCCTACGACCTCGTCCTGATGGACGTGCAGATGCCGATCATGGATGGGTTGCAGGCCACCGAGGCTATCCGCGATCTCGAACGAGAAGAGTCGCGTCAGCCAACGCGCATCCTGGCGATGACGGCTCACAACTTGCGTGGCGACCGTGAGCGTTGTCGTCGGGCGGGCATGAATGGATACTTGGCGAAGCCCTTGGACCTCGCCGAGCTGCTTGACCTTGTCGAAAGCGAGGAGGATTCCCCGCGCATGGAACCGAACCCCAC